TCGAATCGCTCGTATAGTTTTAGAGTTACTTGTATTTTCCTGGGCTTCTTTGTGCTTAAATTCGCAAAGGGCACGTTCGATGTTCACTGATAGCCGCATTGCCGATGTCTTTAAAATATTTAGTGTTAATGTCAAAACTACGTTCGCGAATGAACAAACGACGTTAATCTCACACTGTCAATCGTGAATTCAAGCCGCTAATCAGTAGACAATGTTCATAAGTCAATACACGCTTTTATTCAAAGTTCCGCACATTCCTGCTCTTTAAAACGTAAAACGATTGCGTGAAGTCCAAGCTCCGCATCTGAGTGACTTTTTATAATTAAAGGTTTTGGAGATTGGGAACTTCTATTACACATCCCCTATTTTCTGATTTATCAATTGAATATCTTTATTGAATTTCCGCTACATTTAAAGCGCTTTCATAGCGCTTATTTTGTGACAAATATTTGCTTGGAAACTTGGTCAAATCTGGCATATAAACATGTTGCGCGCTGGCCCCATTTTTCGCTAGTGGTAATTACTCATTCGCCGTCTTTTATATCCTGTAGTGTTCTGACAGGGGGAAATGTTAACCTAGTTGTACGCACTACCATATTTCTTTTCAAATTTTCTGGTGTGTTGTGCGCGTTTTAGCTGCACTACAATGATGATAAGTTGACTTGCGTTCTAGTTGACGAACTATGTGGTTTCCTTACTTGTGGATGTGGTAGACGATGATGTTTTTGTTGTGCTTGGCTTCGCTGTACTGGGCCTTTTAGAAGTCGTCGTTGTTGTGCTCTTTATAACTGATGTGGTTGTCGGCAACGTCTTGATGCTACCTGCAACAGTTGACCTCCTCGATCACATAGGTGAAGAGTCATGCTTGTGCGTAGTGTTTAGCGCTTCCGTACTAACGGTGCCTCATAAAGTTAACAACAATAGCTGCACAACGATTCATTCACAATGTAACTAAGACAATCCCAAAAGCAATATCCCGGCTGCGGCGGCTGCATTTCCGATGGAGGCGGAAATGTTGTAGGCTCGTGTGCTCAGATTTGGGTGCACGTTAAAAAAACCCAGGTGGTCGAAATTTCCGGAGCCCTCCACTACGGCGTCTCTCATAATCAAATGGTGGTTTTGGGACGTTAAACCCCGCATATCAATCAAATCAATCAATTCCAAAAGCAAGGCTACTATGCAAGTGACCTTGCAAGTTGAATTTGTTTCCTACCAGCTCTTGCTATGCATCTGCATCTTGCTCTGCTTGCGCACTTCAGTATGCCACTATGTACTAATATTAACAGCAAAGTTTATAAAGCTTTAAGTAAAACGCCGAGGAAAAAAATCCGGGAATAGTGCTTACGTGATGCATTGAATTTCGGTCACGTGAATAGCTATGGAAACATGTCAGAAACGTACGATTACGGGCTTCTAGTGGGAACATGCTACCTGAAAAGGTTTCACGTGTTGGCACGTGATTTTAGACTTATGATTAGGAACGTGGTTTATGGCGGCAATATTTCGCTTCATACGCGTATACTTGTCCCGTGAGGTTACGTGATATATATCACATGACTGGTGTTCACATGATTGAAGGCACGAACATGTCATTTTATTAGGTAATACGTGGTGTTATGATATTTCAATAACGTAAGTAGCATTTACCTGTTTTAAAGTGGCGATATGTTATGTGATTCTTTGGTGGTTCTGACTTGAACGTAACACGTGACTTGCTATTACGGAATGCTACGTGCTTTCAGCCACGTGATAAGTGCTTGAAGTTAAAATTATTTAACGCACTGCACTTGAGGCCACGTCATATTACGTGATTCGAAGTGATGTGGTTAAATATTGCAGAATATTACCTGACATTTTTTAAGTTACTACATGTTGCGTAATATAAATGTTTTGAAGTAACGTGACTAGGATTTGCGTGTTGATTTGAGTTACGTGAATAGTCATGCTAGGTTGCTTCACCTCAGTGCCGTGACTACTTGCAATGATGCTACGTTATTTTCGGTAATTCAGTCTTTGAATGCCATGTTGCATGATTAGTCACATGACCAGTTGTTGAACATGTTATGTCCTTTGCCATGTGACTAGTTGTTAGTCAATGTTACGCGACATTTATTTATGTAACAAACACACCCGTATGAGTTATTTCATTCAGCGCCTTAAAAGTAACTGCACGCGTAGTGGCAGTGAACAATAACTTGAACATGACGAACCAATTGTGTACTCATTCATATTAATGTTAATTTTTGCCCTACCTGTTGCTAATAAAAGCTGGAACAACTTCAATCTTAAAAGGCGTAAACAATAAAAGAATTAACATGGAGACTTTAGCGCTACAATAGATGTGCACATGCGAGAGACAGAGGATAAACAGGCGGTACCAACAACTGTCCTTTGTGTGTCCTGTGTGTCTGTCTCTCACATTATGTGTACTTCCGTTGTAGCGCTAAAATCATGGTGGTATGTAATGTAATGTAATGTGATTACATTACATTACATTACTCTGCAAAAAGTTTTCGTTAATAATAAAACAATTAATGCAGCTTACTAGTACTGCGCAGTGCGGGGTTCGGCAGCCTTCTTTGTTTCTATTAGGTTTTTTCTTCCTTTGCTTCTTTCTTTCTCTTCCCGTTATCCGGTTATTGCTGTTTTTCTTTTTTCTATTTCTATTATTATCAAGGCGCCCCAAAAGCTACTGCAAGAAGACTTCTCTTAGGCACGATCACGCGCTCCAATGGCTATGCTGTTTGTTATTTTGCCTGGCGTAATATTGACATCAAGGCGCTCAATGAACAAGAGGACGAAAACTTGTGAATGGCGCGAGAATGTGATAAAATGGCAATGCTATGCATTGTTTGGCCTTCCTGAATATCATCAATGTGCTGTAAGAGCAAGAGGAAAAATCGACCCCATATCTGCATGTTACACTGCGAATATCGTCGACAGACGACAGTCTTCCATCTGAGAGAGTGAACGAAATATTTATTTGATGTTCTGCGTAGGAAAATCCGTGAATCGTAATCTGAAGGCGCTGCGTTAGAGGGCGTTGAGCGTGCAGTGGAGGCGAACGAGCGCATCAAGTGACGCCACACGTGAGACATCAGCACTATCTGGCAGTTATCTTGGAAAACGTAGTGATAAGGTGTAGAGCGCAAGGCGATGGTAGGTGCCACCAATGTGTCGTCTTAGCAAAGCGTTGAAAACACTTGCCTTTTCGTGCAAGCGTTGTATGGTCAGCGCAGCACGGTAAACGCTATGGTCCTTAGAATTACTTATTTATGCCTTTTCTAGTAAAAGACGCAAATACAGAATATTGACGTGTTGTTATGGTGCCGCAGATACGCGCAATAATTGCTTTTCAATTGACAATCGCACAAGTATGAGCGCTGAATCTTGAGCAATATTTATGGGCGCTGCGGAAGGGGTTGGTCATTTGGGGTCTCGTCTGGTGCCATTTAGGGTACCGTTATGGGCGGGCAAGGAGACAAATGTACAGGCAGACCAATTTTTTTCCGCCGAAGCTTCCCAAGAAAGAATATCATATTTAAAATACTGCTCTTCGGCGTGAGTTTGTGCTAAAATGGTTGTCATATGTGCCGTTATCCCTGCCTTACGCCAAGCTAACGCAGCGTACGAGTGGGGTGGCATGTGATAGCCTGGCACGCTAATGTGCTCTGCTCTTGAAAAGAACAACCATGAATCAGTATCATTAAACGAATCAATGCTTGTTATGAACGAAATGACCGAGAGAGCTTTAGTACTGCTGTGGCTTGGGTACTGTACCTGTAGTAGCAGGTGGTGGTGAAGGTTGCGGCGTCTCTGGCGCTGTGTTCGTGGTGGTTGCCGTAGATGCTGGCGGCTGACCCTTGGAACCGCTGCCACCACTATATGGAGTATTTGCGCCATCTGCAGCACCTTTGTTCTCATCGGGTTCATCACCACCTATTGTACAAAGGTTGCCTTGACCCAATGTCGAACGTAAATGTGAAGTCTCTCAGCATTTTCTGAGCTTCTGTCTTATGGATGCATTTTTATATATAATTTCTTTCATTTTACATAAATAGGAGCAAAAGCTAAAGACCATGTGGCGCATTCAGCATGTATACACAAGGTTTTGATGCATGTACAACAATAAAGCATCAGCATGCACATAGCTATATTCAAACAGAGCAAGTATAGCTATAGCTATATTGAAACAGAGCAACAAACATAGCTATATTCAAACAGAGCAAGTATAGCAAGTATAAGTAAGTAGAGCAAGTATAGCGAGTACCTCTAGAAAACGAAAACGTAAACAAACACTTCATAAAAGAATAGAATAAAAACACTTTGTGTGAAATAAAGAAATATCATAAAAACACTTCTTGCAAAGAAACATATCATGCAAAACACTTCATGAAAAAACATACCATTCAACCAGTACATGATTATGTACCTTAATGCAATAAATGATGAAGATGGAAACAGTAGTAAAAAAACAGCGAAAAAACATTTAGCTATCAATGATGTACGACATGCTGCCATAGGAAATAATCAACTGCTTTTCCCTTGAAAATTTTGCTAATATATAGGAACGAGATGCACTTGCGAACTGTGAGATGTGAAATAAGAGGAGCAAATATTTGAGACCCACTCCTACCGGTCAAAGTGAATGGCCATCGAAGCAGTTAAAACACAGCACTCTAATGCGATGCAGAATTTGGACAAAGGTGCGAGCCCTGGTTGCGAAAGAGGAGGACAGAACGAGCGCGTGGCCTGCGCATCTGCGCGCTCGGTGCCACTCGGAGCGTCTCCGCCGGCCACCCGATGCTGGCCTCCTGCTCACGTGGTTAGGTGCTGTGGCCAATGCCGGTGTCGGCCAACTTCTGGGCGTCTACGATGGCGCTGTGGCCGACGATACCGAACGCCCTTCATGCTGGCCACCGCCTCACCGGTGAGCGCCCCTTCGAGTGAATCTGCACTTGCCGGGAGTCCGATCGAAGCGCCACATTCCGCTCAGTGCCATGACGCAGGAGGCTGCGGCGCGAATGTACGGCGACCTGGCCGGAAGGACGCAAGTTTTCACTGATGAGTTCATCCTGCGGGATGGCTTTGCATGGGCCGCCTGCCTATCCCCTCAGCTTGACACGGACCGACAGTGCCGCTTGTGGTACTGCGCATCCTCGACAACAGCTGAGCTATTCGGGCTTTTGTTGGCCGCCGACCTCCTACGCAAATCGCCAGCCATCAAGAGTGCAGCAATATTCTGCGACTCGAAACCTGCCCCGAGTAAGCTCTCGAGGGAGGAACGTGGCCCGCTTCTGGCTCAGCGCGTTGCACACAGCCTACTGACCCTTCAAAAGCGCGGCTGTGATCTTGTGCTCCAGTGGCTCCCATCACGCGTCAGCATCGCGGGGAACGAGGCTGCAGATGAACTTGCTAAACGAGCACACCCCGTCGAGACCCCGCTAATCGAATACGCAAGCTCTCTCGACTCGGCATGCGAACAACCTTCACCGGGAGCTAACGCGCGAGCATCCTGACGCTCGGGATGCCACACCCTCTTACTCTCGAGATCGGGAGATCCTCAATGTTTGTCGCGACTGAGGTGGTTACAATTGCCTAATGATCACTATGCTACACAAGAATTGGCTGGGTTATAAGCTCGCATACATAGGTCAGTGTAATGAAAGTCAATCCACTAGTGGTACGACAAAACGTATTGGTGGGCGCTGCGAATGGGGTTGGCCATTTGATGTCGTTTGAGGTATCGTTAGGGTGAACAAAGAGACAAATGGACGGATGGACGGGCGGACGGACAGAAGGACAGAAGGACGGACGGACTGACGGACGGACGGACGGACGGACGGACGGACGGACGGACGGAGGGACGGACAGACAGACAGACAGACAGACAGACAGACCAAAATTTTTCCGTCAAAGGTCCCCAAGAAAGACTATCGTTTTTAAAGCACAACATTCTAGGTGGTGACAAATGCATGTATCTAGGTTCCATTTTTTACAGTGTGTGGTAATTAGGGAGAAAGAAAACTTGCCGTCGTAGCCCCAGATTATGTTTTTATTTCACCAGAGAAAAATGTGTAACACAAATACTACCTTCACCATACCTGACATTGTCCAGAACGCGGCTGCAATACCGGCGATGAGAAGGCCAGCACACATCAGAGCGGCGAAGATTATCAGCGTTTTGTTGTCGCTGTGAATGAAGTGAGCCTGAAATTAGTAATCTGCAGATGTGTACGCGCTTCGGTGGATCGTTCAAGTAACTCAGTAAAACTACATTTATGAGAGGTGTAAAAGTCTACAACACATGAAGGACACAACGCAACAATATGTTGTCCCTTTCAAATGCTTTCTTTAATAACAAACTAGCGAGAGTGTTAAAAAATCAAAAAGGCGCACTTAGGTAACATTCAAAATTGCGCGCTGAATCAGTTTATAAATCACTGTTCTGTTGAAATAATTGAGATAATAGGCATAATTAACGCGTAAATTATATATTGGTCTGACCAATAATTTTTCATTTTATAAATATTTCTGTGCAACAATCTCATGGCACCATGATGGTCTTGGACCTGAAAGCACGACATATATTCTAGAAAAATCAAAATACCAGTAATTTGAATATAAACATTATAATATTATAAGACATGGATAATGTGATGCCTTTCAGAGCATTTTGGACACTAGTTCAGGTGAGGGTTTCGGGCGCATATTTGGTCTCTATATTTATTAGGCTGATAATATTTAACGAAGAAGCACAATATAGACTATGGGTCTATGACCGGTATGTGGAACTGAGTTTCACTTATTGTGCAACTTACTCGTCTTCTTCGCGTTTAGCTGCAAGAAAACTACAAGTTATGATCAAAAATATAAAAAGTAACCAGAAAATGGCTCCAAATTCTGACAAAACACCAACGTTGTTGTTCAACACAATAAAAAAACACTACACAAAGGCACATAGACACAACTAGCTATTCGGCTTGATCAATTTGTTAATTCTCAAGGCGGCAAAAGTAATAAAACTTTCTGCTGTGGAAAATCTTGCCGCGTTCGAGTAACAATTGTAGGAGAGATCCGCAGATATGAAGTGCGCATTTTAGACCACACGAAACAATCAACTATTTTGTGCCTTGTAGATCAATGTCATAAATAAAGAGCGTATAAAAATGCATACAGACAAAGTTCGGTGCACGATTATGGTGTCTAAGTGTGTTACTACTGCACAACAAGAAAGCTACGCTTATTCCATTAGGCGGACCAGCTCTGGAGAGGGAGTTTCCTTAGGATAATTTCATTATCCGTTTACTCAACACAGCCGTACTTCATCTTCCTATGGAACGGCATTTCTGCTGATATCTTTCTCAGAAACAGTGTAGGTTCACAGCAGAGCAATTTCTAGGTTCACACCAAGGCCATTCATTTAGAAATCTGCAAGGTGTTCAAGCAATGAGAGGCAAAAATGGGACTGAACGTGAGTTCACCATCTATCTGCAATATTGCTACAGGTTCCCACAGAGCTCAGACCTATAATGAGTGGCAGGCAATGTTAGTTGAATAACGAAAGTGCAAAACTATGTCAAACCATGTAACATTTGCTTCATGACTGGTTGTGTACCCACTTGGTTAAAGATATCCCACTGCTTCTCTTAAAGAAGGACATGAGTTAGGTGGAGGCATGTGGCTACCAAAACATCGAATTTTATGCCTCAGAGGATGTAGCGTATGCCAATGTGTACAGTATTACTCATGTTGCAGAAAATAAACAAAGCCACGAATGAATGGTGGCGATTAATAATAACATGAGTTTGTACGCTTCAGATTGTTGTAGTACTGTTAATGTGTGGTATAAAAATTCCGTTTCATTATGCGTTTTACGTAAAAAAATACTATAGCTGAATTCAAACTCAGTTAATTTGTTGTGGTTTTGAGAGTCAAATTTATAGCCTACTTACGCTCAATTCTTGATACTTCAGTTCCAGTGTCCTCGTCACTTTCATCCATCACGCTCTTTAAAGATGATATGAATGACAATGTTGGGTATTTATTCCTAGTGCACCTGTGGTAACATGACATGCTGCATAAACACTCAAACACTGGCACGTCAGAGCTACAAGTTGCAGTAGATTAAAGATCACGTGCAGGGGAGCAAGTGAGAATGATATTACTGCTGTTACATAGAAAAAAACTAATACTTCACATAAAGTATAGTTTACTAACCACGCATTCGAGTGACTATGTGGGACATAAGCCGCCGGCAGGCCACGGCCACAAAATGACCCCTTTACATTTGCTTTATTCGTTTCCCAGATATAATGTAGTGACCGCTTTCTAAATTTCCCACGGAAAATATTTAACTTAGTTCCTGCACGATAAAAACAAAGCTGTGGACATTTTTTGAGAGGGCTAATATGTACTACAAGGATGCTCTTTCATCTATACTCTATAATGATAACCTAAACGCTCTCATTTATTGCGACATTATTGAATTATTCTGTCACAATTTTTAGGAGTGCATAGGCTTACAAAAGTAAAAAAACCACCAAAGCGTTGTAGTTATGCAGATTTTTTGGCACATAATTGTGTGAATTTATTTTACTTGTGGAACAGGGAATGACATAGCAAGACAGCATTCACAATACTTTGCATTGCTAAATAGCGTGCCGAACCAATAATATTGCAATAGCACGCAATTTCGTCCAACTAAGTATCAGGCGGGTAATTAAATGACAAATATTGGTGAATATAGAAATAATATTATGAATTACACGGAGTAATAAGCAGGTGCAATCAGTTGGATGAGAGACACCTGTGATTGGTTCCGAGGAAAGGAAACACATCTATCGTTAGACGAGGTAGCAGATATACAGTACACCTCCCTGCACACTTTTGTCGGAAGTGGCGAAATATATACCTAAAACCCTGTTTTTTCAACTGTAAGTGAGACAAGCGTGCTTAATAAGAGAGATTTTAATGGCACAAATTTCGCTAAATTAGTATTTTTATGCGTATGTGGAATATGTCTGCCCAGAAAAGTGATAGAAGCTTACCAAGCGTATATTTCTTCTTCTTCTGCTCGTGCTGCTGCTTTGTGTGACTTAGTCGAGTTGATTGCTTTGAGCCATCGTTTCGTATTTGTTATTGTTGTTACCTGGATAATTAGCCTCTGCCCATGAGGGCAATCGCTATTTGAGCTCATGGACAATTCATCAAAGGTAGCAAGCACTGACGCAAAATATTTGTGCAGACACTGGTTTAGCAGAGTCACAGAGTTACACTACTGTAGCAAAACACTAATGCCTAGCATAACATGTTTATAAGTGGTGATATTTTTGTCCGCGCTTGACTTTAGGATCTGCGTATTTCCTTTGTGGATTTCTTCCCAAGAGGCCGAGATTTAGTTCGTGTGAAGTACGATTTGTGCATGTCACATAGCAATTAAACTCATCACGGTGCTGCTATTAGAGGACACATTATGATCTCATATGAAACAATGTGTTTTCATCCCAAAATAAAAAAAAAGAAGCGAACACACAACACGAACCACACACTACTGATTTCGCGAATAAACTGACCCCCGTATCGGCCAGTCCCCTCCCTTCAGTACAGGCAATGTCAGGAGAAAAACAACAACGGAAAAAAGACACCATCAATAAAGCTTTGTGTGTGTCAGCGCTTGTGTGTGCTGTGGGTTCTCTTTGTGATGCAACCTGTGGGTTTGATCTATTGCTTTTTTGTCAGGAATATAGAACAACCAGGCGCAAATAAAGCTTGGAGATTTCGGAGATTAATTCAACAGTGGTAACCACTGGTGCTTCAAACTAGTTCCGTGTGTCTACTAGAAAAATTATGAGATATTTCTCAAGAGCGGACTTGCTGCGTCTCAATTTGTGTCAGATCATGACACTCCATGTACCCACGCATGTTCTATGCTAAAGCTTCACTACTATAGCCCCACTAGATACCAGAAGCATGCTGTTTGTGCGGGTACATACGAAATGAACCACGCTATCTATTCAGCAATTCAGAAAAAACCACGCTTTAGGTGGATAGATATATGCATACGCAGTTCAAACTCCGTTTAACGAAGAGACGGAAAATTCTTGAAGACGAGGTGTGCTAGAGCCGACCTTCCAGCAAATGAACTTTTCTCATTCAAGGCTGCAACTGTCGTTAAGAGGGCAAGTCTGCTTTTGAAACATCAGCTCTTGCAGCACTGCCTGTTCAAGCACGTTTCACCTATTCAAGCTCCCTTAAATCATTGCGGTAACTTTCCCAATTTTTTATGTACCGATGGAATGCCGAGGCACGAGTTGTTTAGGGTAAATGGGAAAGTAGTAAAATCTAGAGAGCTATTTCTTTTTTGTAATTCGATATACGAAAAACAACGTAGCAACATTGAAATGTTACCATCCCGTAGTCTATACCATAGATTGATAACTGCAGGAGCACGACCTGTATTTGTCCAACAGTACTAATTAAAAGAACGCATAATCTATTTTATTTTAAACACAGTTAT